TAGTGAGAACACAACGGAGAGACTGCGTATTTGTGGTGCAGCGCCGATAACAGTCATCTAGTGTTCGTATTTAAGAAGGGTAACCACTTGTTGATCGATGGGCACTGATAGGATTGCATTCGTTTTGACGCTGTCAAACGCTTTCTCGTAGTTGTTGAAGCCTGGGACAAGGGACAGATGGCACTCCTATTGAATGCTGTGCGATACGGCTTGAATGTAATCCATGCAGCAGAATCACCGTCGGCGTCTTGATTGTGCAACTTGTTCTGCCTCATCTAAGGTCTTCTATATGCGCAGAGGGATAGTCGTCGTGAATAGCTTGTAGAGCACATCTAACAAGCATAATGGACGGTAGTTAAGACGAGAAGCTGATGGACCCAAAACTCTGCGCTCACGTTTTCCTCTTAACTCTCATGCTCCAGCACTTTCTATGGATCAGGACATGTCTAATGCTTCAACCATATCAAGAGCTCTACTCAACACCTACAGAGCGCATGAATTATGTCTTCTGATATTTAGCCAACATACAACGTCTAGCCGGCATGTGCACCTCAGATCATCGAAATTTATCCTATCTTCGGAATCCAGGAGAATATGCATCGATAACGAAATACAGATGGGCTATCACACAGATGGACGACAAGAATAATGGAACAGATGGACGACAAGAATAATGGAATAGATTGAAAGAGAATGCAAGCTTCTTCTTGGAATGTGCTGACGTGTTGGAGGTTTACATAAACCATCCACATTCGTATATTGAAACGCTTTTAGGAATTCGGAATAGGCCTTGCGGACGTCACCATATTCGGAGCAGGGCACTGCCAAAGGTGACAATTGCTCTAGTGAGAAATTAATGGAAATGGTGCTGGGGTCCGCACTACTAGTAGCGAGGGGTCATCCAAATGTCCAAGTTAGTATTTATGCACTAATTGTGAATTGCAGATTGTAAAATAAATGTTCTTTAGCATACCATTTAAAGCATCAATAGAAGCACAATGATGTTTTATCTTTCGTTTTCCTTTTGTCATTTGTATTTCGATATTTTCAAAACTTGGACCCATTCTAGACTCGAACTTGCGGCTACCCTTTCACGGGGCTCGCGTACTGCCCACTGAACCATTGAGACCTTTCTTTTGTTACCAATCAAGCGGAATGATCTGGAAATCACAAATTGGCACTGGAACTATTTAAGTTCTCGTTGTTGCAGTCGAGATCCCAATGTTTAACTTTTAAGTTGCTATATACTACTAGAACATCAGTAAAAGCTTGGAAGATTCAATAACTGTCAATATATTGCCAATAGACCCTTATTATTAGTGCTCAAGAACACCTTTGAAATAGGATTGCACGGATACTTTTATCTGATCCCGCTATAACAACCTTTTGCCACGATAACAACGACTCTCGAGTTCGTCACCGTTCAACGTCACAACGTTACTCGTCCTAGCCGTCTCCAATGCCTTGTACTAGTTCATGTCACCTTGGCCTCCAGCTTCGCATAGAAATCATGTCCTGCTTACATTGTTTGTGTATACTCAGGTTGATCTCGCTAAATTGCTGTCAGCAAAAAGCTGTTCCTATGTGTTTAATTACAGTAAGAGGCACTCGTGCGTCTCTTCAGTGGCGACAATCTCCATAGTATATACTCTGAGCAATGACAATAGTCCCTTGCCGCAAAACTAACACGTTCAGAGGTTTTTTTTATAAATTACTATTTGGAAAGGACAGCTATTTTTGAAGATACCTGATATAACATGTGTTGGAGAGGCTATCGTTTGAGTAAAAATTGATATAGAATAACTCTGTGTAGCAACACAAATGGCTGAAGAGGAAGTGGATGGTATATAATCGAGATCGCCCACTTTCCACACTACAAATTCACAACGTCCAAAGCATCTTAAGCGTAATATGTTAGAAATGCTCGCAATAACAAGTAGTTGAACATGTGGAAGGAAAAATACGATCATGAGTGAGAGAATACACCTGAATAGGAAGTTCAACGCCTACCTACCTTATCAATGAAAGTGTGATATACAGCCAATTCTCACCACAATATAACGAGCTTTATGATTCAACGATCCAATTCATTATTACGTACTCAGTACAACACAGTCAACTGCATTCAATGCAATTCCATCTCACAGTTTAATCCAGCATCGCAAAGCCTCTAGTCCAATTGAACTGCCATCGACAGCACAACACTCGATGAAATCTACGACCCTGTAAAGTCATCAGCGTGTAACTAAATATTAGACGGAACCACTGAATATATCGTCCACGACTCTAGTACAACAATGAACTGTATCCAGTTTATTTTCTTTCTTTAACACACTTCTATGCAGCTAATTATAAGCACCTGGTCACTAACACACAGATCCCTGCGTGTGTGGATTTCTACTCATACGTAGGATGACAGATAAGCGAGCAAGAATTGCTATGAACGCACTTTTTTTGTGGTCATTTATCTTACAGTATAGATTGCTCTACTGTACTTTTTATACTTAATAATCAATTTTTGGTTACTCTAGTCATTAAAGAAGGTATAAAGGAGCCATTGCTCTACGTGAACATTCATTATGATGATGTAGTAAACCACTGCATATACTGATATCGGTGCAATGTGTCACAGTTTTATACTCGGCATGACCAAACGGAGAGGCTGCGTATTTGTGGTGCAGCGCCGATAACAGTCATCTAGTGTTCGTATTTAAGAAGGGTAACCACTTGTTGATCGATGGGCACTGATAGGATTGCATTCGTTTTGACGCTGTCAAACGCTTTCTCGTAGTTGTTGAAGCCTGGGACAAGGGACAGATGGCACTCCTATTGAATGCTGTGCGATACGGCTTGAATGTGATCCATGCAGCAGAATCACCGTCGGCGACTTGATTGTGCAACTTGTTCTGCCTCATCTAAGGTCTTCTATATGCGCAGAGGGATAGTCGTCGTGAACAGCTTGTAGAGCACATCTAACAAGCATAATGGACGGTAGTTAAGACGAGAAGCTGATGGACCCAAAACTCCGCGCTCACGTTTTCCTCTTAACTCTCACGCTCCAGCACTTTTTATGCATCAGGACATGTCTAATGCTTCAACCATATCAAGAGCTCTACCCAACACCCACACAGCGCATGAATTATGTCTTCTGATATTTAGCCAGCATACAACGTCTAGCCGGCATGTGCACCTCAGATCATCGAAATTTATCCTATCTTCGGAATCCAGGAGAATATACATCGATAACGAAATACAGATGGACTATCACATATTAAGAACAGATGGACGACAAGAATAGTGGAAGATTGAAATAGAATGCAAGCTTCTTCTGGACACTGGACAGTACAATGCACCTTCAGCGTAAGAGTGGAATCACTACCACTGCGCTACCCATCTCCTACCCAACAACCTATAAGGACTTGAAATCCCTAGCTCATAGTGAATAAATAACTAAGATACTAATTACTACTCCCCAAAGACGTTATCACCAAAATAGAGATAATCCAACAACGAAAACATTTCTCCCTCGCTCTTATTTCAAAAACAATGGTCTGCACAAGCCTGACTCCAATAAACTCCTTGGAAAATAAACCATCGAAAATGCTACTACCTAATTGCTATGATAACTCACCACCTCAACGGTCCACCGCCTCATCGTGCCTGAAACTATTAATATGTACCCAGAATAACTCCGCTTTTCAATTCGGAACAAACATATCTGGGGTGATGAGCACTAATTATTGAAATGAAAACCTGCTCAATCTACAGATCTTTGCAAATAAAATTCATTAGCCCACAATTTTCTTTGGAAAAAGCCTGTAAAACTATGAAAAAAGTGATATTTCGTCTAGCTGTATGCAGTAACTTCCTAAATGCATCGCAGATTCACGCGGTTACAGCGCTTGTTTCAAAGACATCAAAATTTTTAAAAACTACTTTTGAGCACAAGCATCCTTCCTAGGTTTGACTCTCAAATAAAAGCTGAGATTAAGATTACACTTCTGAAATTTTGTACACACCAGCAGAACTACTTTTAAAAAAGTCTGTTCTACACGTCTGTCCAGTTCAAAACTCCCCCGCTCTCTACACACTGAAGAATTATCGCGAAATGTCGGAGAACCAGTAGGGTATATTATGCACGAAACACATAAAAATCTTCTGTGACCACTATTTGAGTGCTGATTAATTTCCAATCACTACGTTGAATTATCCTCCCAACGGTTTGCTGCCTCATCGCGGCTGGGAGGTGTTCCTGGGTGTCAAACTGCGGTGTACAGTAGGTAAGCGGGTTCATTCCCATAGCAGTCTCCCAAACTGAGAAGGAGTCCGGCGTTTCCATCGGGAACCTCAGCTAGGAGTAAATCGAAACCAAAATCCACCACCCTCTTGGTATCAAACTAATCGTTTGATGGCAAATCTCCCTCTAATCCACAAGGACGGCGACAGTCTGTAACGGTGACGATCTGGGGAACACTTTGAGTAGGCTGACCACGGGACTCCAGAGAACCACAATGGCTAAACCAGCAAGTCTCCAAAGAATAGAAATTATGCTGAGGACCGCATAACCAGTAAGAGCATGCCATCCACGTATCCGTGTTGAATTTTTGCTTTCGTAAGGAGTGAGGGGATATAAAAAATAATGCCGCACACTGTACACATATTGTTGAAACGACTACCAAACAACAATAATCTGCGATACATTCTCGAAGATGCTGGGCAGACAAGTTTTTTTTATCACGCAAAAGAGTGCAGAATGTTCTAAAAACATGGGACGAGACAAAAAACAACCCAGAATATATGTAAGAAAATAGGAAAAAGCAACTAAATACATGGGAAATCTAAACATCTCGCGAATGGTACAAAAAAAGAGCGGCGCCATCTGCTAAAGGACCAATTTGACTGGCATAAGTTGTTGTCAACACCTATCAACTCCAGCGAGGAATCTATAAGAATTAGGAAAGCTACTGCTAAGCATTATTTTTACCAATACATATAGTGTTTCACAATGTGATTTCTTTATCGCTTACGATTTTGCCTCCTTCTCTTGCTATCGCCTCAAATGAACAGGAAAGTAAAAGAACTAACATAGGTAAATCATTCCAAGTAAAGCGGTCACTATTGCCAGTGAGCGTACTACTTGCGGACGACCCATCAGTTGACGAAAGTGCAGCCGCGCGTGTCTTGTTTATTAGACGAATCTCCTTTTCCAAGGAAACTCGAATAACCTACAATTTCAGAAACGTCGTAGCGAAACACAAACAACATGAACTTTCCTTTGCTATTTACTACAGATTTTTACTCAGGATATTATTATGTGAAATATAACAACAATTGTACTGAGATATCTGCAAAACTCTGGACCGCAGGTGTCTGCGGTGTGAAACCAACGCGCCATTACCCTTGCCAGGGGGCTAACGCGTTCACCGCCACACCATGCGGATCATTCGCTTCGCCTGCCTCTCAAACAAACAACGTATTCAAATTGCTGTTGACGTTTAACGCGAACAAAACCCACGTGACTACTCTTTGAGAGTTCAAGATCTTGTTTATTACATAGGACAGCCACTGGTACCTGAAAACCTGCTTCGTTTGTTGTCTCTATGCAAAAACATATATGATTGATAAAGCTGAAACCGACCAATGGCGACGCGATTTTATTATTCCAAGAAGAGGATATTAAAATAGAAAAAGCTCACGGCATTGATCAATCCTTGAGGGATGCGCTGTGCATCCCACTTCATTAACCATCGTTAGAGATGGTTGAACGCATATCTGGCCTTTACAATGAGGCGACCTACCGATGGATCAAGACAATGCTTCTATCCTCCCAGAGAAGTCTAAGCCTGGTACCAGTTTGCCGAGCCCGGAAGGATGGAAGGTTTGGTGAGCTTTGGGCGCACGTGTATTGCAGGGTGCCTCCGACACTGCGCTACAAGCGTCCTTAAGGGGATATTACATTTGTATAAAGCGATCAGAAACGTCTACCTTCTTCCCGCTCTCCAAAACAACATCGTAGAAGAACTCGGCAACGTCTCGAGATCGCTTTGAAAACGACGACGAATCAACAACGAATGCTATAGCACGCAGAGAAGACCGTCCCTAGCAACAACTACCGGCTAGCGCTAAATATTGGATTTATTTTCATAAAATCCCTAAACGAAACCTACTTTTGTCAACCATCTCTCCACTAGCTGCTTTCGCAAACGTTCGGCACCAGGAAAATCAACCAGCTGGAAAACGATTTGGAAGAGAATAAAAAAGAATACTGGAAGAGGTAATATAAGATGATCTAATACATTACTCTCAAATGCGATCCTTTTACGTCGATATCAAGAATGTTTTCTTGAAAAGATGTGTAAGTCATCGGTTCATTGCCTAAAAAGCAAATATTACTTCAAATCGCTTTAATATGAACACTGGGAACTGAATCTATTTCCACGTTTTCTCTCGGAAGTCTATATTGTCGACGAAGAAATGCGACTCAGATACGCCGAGCATCCGACGCCAAACCTATGGCCAAGGCGAAACCCAAATACTCCGACAGCCTCCCCGGGACATCCACGGAAGAAGTCGCCGCTTCCCCGATCTCAGAGGATACAGCGACTGTGATTAAACGCGGATCAAAAACAACAGTAACATTCGCCCTGAGACCGATGTCGACAAACTGGGACTCCATCTTCAACCACAACGTTGCTGAGATATTTGCAAAACTCTGGACCGCAGGTGTCTATGGTGGGGAACGAACGCGCTATTATCCTTTCCGGGGAGTAACGCGTTCACCACCACACCATGCGGGTCCTTCGTTTCGCCTGTCTCTCAGCTATTTCTATCGATCTTTTTGCACAGCAATCACCCGTCAGCGGGGTTGATCTGGGGAACGCAAATCGGCATAGAACCCAGTTAAGCTATGGCTGTAGTTGAAATCACAATGTTTTACGTTCTGTGTTTTCTGCCTTCTATAATTTTCATGGCAGGTTACTAAGCGAATTACAACCACAACGTTGCTGAGATATTTGCAAAACTCTGGACCGATACAACCACAACGTTGCTGAGATATTTGAAAAACTCTGGACCGCAGGTGTCTATGGTGGGGAACGAACGCGCTATTATCCTTTCCGGGGAGTAACGCGTCCACCACCACACCATGCGGGTCCTTCGTTTCGCCTGTCTCTCAGCTATCCTCTTAGAATAGTGCGACAGTGAAATTTTGGGAGCTAGCGCACTCATCAACACACGTCGAGTCCTCGAACAACTAATAAACTTGGTCATAGTTAGACATCTATAATTGAGAAAATGACAACAAATACCGACCATCGTTCTTTTCAATGCCATCACTTAAAACAAATGAATTCGAAGTAGGCTGACGAATGAGACTTGGACGCGGCGAGGACTACACATTCTACGAGGCCATCACTAGCTACATCAATGCCGCGACTATACCCACGAGAATGTCTGGAGAACTCTGCATAACAGACACATGGGTTGGAATGGAACGTTTGGGAACGCGAATTCCAAACCATAAGTTTCTCAAGATTTTTCGTACCTTTAGATCTCCTATTTCTTTTACTGACTTAGGAAGATACCGTTATGGACATCCTAGAAAGAATGTCCCAACTGTTAGTACCGCCGAGACGCGCCTTCTTCAAAAACCCTCGAGCTGATAAATTTTTGTTGAGCAACACAAGCCGTATGAAAATATGAAGTTACGTATAATTTGAAAGCTCTAAAGTGAAGTGATAAAAGGAAACCTTCAGTAGTCAGTTAGTTCAGTAGAGCAGTAGAAATGAAGAGAAAACTGAAGAAGGCGACAGGAGTCTGTAATGGGCCCCGGCATTTTTGCAACCCCAGGATAACCGCACTTCAACGTCCAAAGCAATGTTCACTGCATCCAAGATCGCAGTGCAGATCAGCGAGGATTTTTAGTCCGCACTCATAGATAAGCATGTCCACTTTCTTCCAGAATGTTAAGAATGACCATACGTGATGCTAACGGTTCTCCTTCCTGAGGTCCGATCCTATTTGCTTTCCCATCGATGAGGAATAATACAGTAGATCGTTATGGCGTTATCATATGCTAACGGCTATGGAACCTCTCGCCAATATTCATTAAGGAACTTGTTCCACTTTTCACAGGTTACGTGTCAAATACAAGTATCGAAATCAGTGGAAGAATAGCGCGACCATGCTGTCGTGAAATACTACCAGTTTGTCTGCTCTCCCTCAAAACGCTCAACGTCGTAAAATATTTTCATAAAAATTCGAGACTTATTGAAATAACGTGAACAGAAAAGTCTGCTATGTGTCCTTCATCGACATTAAGATTACTAATCCATTTGAGATGTGAACGATAGCAGAATCTCTAGTCAATTTAGGAGTCCCAATCCAGTAACATAAATATCCTAATGAGCTAAGCACAACTTGTCAACTAGAATTTTGCCATTCTACAACGAAATCGTCCTCGGCATATAGATAGCGGCTCGAAATAGAAGGATAAAGGATAAAGCTCTCGTCGTTGACCAATCCCTGAGGAGTCCGCTATGCATTCGACTTCACTAAGGATCGTTTGGAGGTAACTGAATGCATATTTGGCCTTTACAGTGACTCGCGGCTTTCCGATCTGTCGACCCAGTGGTGCTATCCTCCCAGACAACTCTGGCATCAATTTGCCGACCCGGAGAGGTTAAAGGCCACCTTCTCTGAGCGAACGCTCGGAAGCTCTGACAAGCTAAAAAGAATGACGAGCACTGTTGGAACCTCAAACGATTAATAGATAGAGCAATATTTAATGGACTAATGACTAATACTGAACAAAAAAGATGACGAAACAACATATTCCAATCATTCCAGCTCTTGAAATCCAGAAATATCACTGGATCTAGCGACATTTCATCGTTGACCATATCTGTGAAAAACTTGCGATTCTTGAATAATTAGCACACTCGTCAACATTGTCTATTAAAGTTTCCTACCACAGATGGAATGTCACGCTCTCTAAGAGTTATCTTGTACAATTTCTAATTCACAAAACAGTTACATCGACATCTCATTTGGACCCAAGCTGTGGGTTGACTAATCGCAAGATGCACTGTCATCACAGGAGTCGCTATCGTTCTAGAAGAATCCGAGTTACAACACAGCAAACTTTGTTGCAATCTACAAAAGTTGGAAATCGCTTGCAACGACGAGGTGTTAACATCCTATCTTGATTATCCCGGACTTCCGGATATAACCCCTTTCGGCTGCCATTCAGAATTTCGACGAGGAAAAGAGCTCGCAGATTCTAAAGCTGCAGCAGAATCCGCACCCTAACCTGACCACTTATATGTGCGATAGCTGCAAGATCTACCTAAGTTTAGGCCTAAGCTTAAGCGTAAGGCTAAGCTTAACCCCATGCTTAAGCCTAAGCAAAATGGATGGAACAAGTGCATGATATATGGAGACCAGTTATTTAAGTCAAAGATGTTCCTGCTTCGTCTATTTCGTCCCACAATGACAAAATCCCACAGAAATAGAAATGTTCCTGATGTAAGGCCTAATTTATTTACCACTCTATTGTATGATCTTCTAAGGTTGTAAAAAGAACTCGTGGTTTACCATCTCCTTAAACGATTTGCTATTTCATTATAAAGGAACAAAACTAACAGTACTGCTTCATTGATGTAGAACTTACCTTTGTTGGCTATTTTCCCGAAAATGTGTGTTTTTCCCGAATCACTAAGGCCAACTAATAAGATTGTATCTGCTCTACTTCTTAGTAACCTAAAAAAACCGGCTAAAATCACCAACTGGTGAGGTCAATCAGCTTAAAACAAGTTTCATACCTATGTAAAAGAAATACAACTGTAACCAGAACAGCTAGAACGGCGACCGCTATGGCAATCAGGTTAGGTCCCTTCACAAATTCCTGCAGATTCACTATGCTCCCCATATCTGTGTGCTCAAAAAAAGTACAGGGTTGAAGGAATGGTTATGGCCAGAGACCAAAAACGACTAAATCAAGAAGACCGCCACAGTACAGAGTATGTCTAACCCAAAGTGAATAAGTAACACATATTTGAAAGGTTCATTTACATATTCATTGAACGTCATACTTCCAGTTATTCAATTTGCTATATTATACATCGCCTTCACCCGTTTCGGAAGCTCGTTCTTCCCCTTGATTCGTCGAAACTCCTCGAACAGACAGCTTCTACCCACTGAAATTTACAACACCAGACTAGAAACAGGACAAATGATGCGAATCTAAAATACTTACAAGCCGGATCATGAAATATCCCAGAAAACTTCTCTGCAGCTCTCTCTCTAACCCACACTCTCGTGGAACCAGTGATAACGCTCGCCAATTGGACGATCACGTACCTGATACAACAGGGAATAGGGGAACTCTAAGGGCAAAAAGTAGAAGTCACCTGACTTTGACTTCGCTCCCATTAAGCTGTAGTCAGTTGACGGAACCTGCAGGTCCAATGTTGATGGATTATGGGTTTACTAAACTAACATTTTAATCCGTAACAACAGCAATTACCTGACTGAGTATTGACTGCATCGACAATCGTCTAAGTAAACTAAGCCAAAATGCACATCGACCAATAAAACATAAAGCCATACGGTAAAGCTCTCGACGCTGATCAAGTCCTAAGGGATGCGCCATGCATTCGACTTCAATAAGCATCGTTGGAGGTAACTGAATGCATATCTGGCCTTTACAATGCCTCGCGGTGGCCTACCGATGTATCGAGCCAATGTTGCTATCCTCCTAGACAAGTCTGATGCCAATTTGCCGACCCTGGAGACATATAGGACTTGATGAGCCTGGGTAGTGGGGATCGATCCCATGTATACTGCAGGGCGTCTCTAATAAAACATAGTCACTCAAAACCAGTAACAGTATCAGGATTGGGAACAACGACGAACAGGAACTCGCGTAGACGTGCCGGCGCAGCCGTGGTGTGCGTCGTAATTACACAAAAACGCATAACATTCTTTTATCGCTCGGCATACTTCGATGTTCACTGAGTTCCTACTGCCACCCTACATTCTTTGTTGCTGAAGCCTTTCTTGCAGTCCACTTGAGCAACGAGATTTTATTTGTGCTGCTGTACTGTCGACCTCTGCAGTACTTGTACTGCTGTGCTGTCGACTTCTGCTGCATTGGAAGTTACACCGAAGGGGGCTGGAACCCTGTAAAAATACGAGAGGCATCCAAAACAGCTACTTATGATGTATTCTTCCGTACTAGGAATTAACTATTAAGTTATCTTTCGGGCAACTGTGTATGTGCAATCTGGACCAGATCAGAGTGTTCTTCAAGAGGTGTATGAAGTTGTAGTTGTTTCTGCTTTCTGGTGTAAGGCTGAGGTACGGATTCATCTCTTCGTTTATATCATCGAGTTCATCAATACGTTCCTTTCTTTCCTTTTTCTTCTATCTTTATATAATTTTCACTCTGACTTGGTCGTGTTTCAGAGCACAATGGAGGGCATCGCTCTTCTGACAGTGCTTTCGTGCTCGATGTTTTTGGGCAGCTACTTCGCCGGCTCCATTCCCATGATGTTCAGCATGTCCGAAGTTCGATGTTAAATCATTACGCTCCTTTTTATCGCTTTCAGAGATCAGCTGTAGTGCAGCCTTTTTGAAGAAACGTTAACTTTTATTGCATATTTTGAATTCTGTCATGTACAAAAGGGCGCGTGTGGCGCAGTGGTCGGAGGCGCCCTGCAACACACACACATAGGATCGACCCCTGCGCCCTTGGCCCATCAAGCCCCCCATCCCGGGTTGGTAAATTGGTACCAGAATTTTCTGGGAGGATAGTAGCACTGGCCCGATACATCGGTGGGCCAGCGCGAGTCGTTGTAAAGGCCAGATATGCATTCAATCATCTCCAGCGATGCTTGAGGGAGTCGAATGCATGGCGCATCTCTCAGGGGTTGATCAACGCTGAGAGCTCTATCATTTACTCTTTTATGATGCATAAATTTGAACATTCTATTCACCACTTTTAAGAACGTGGTAGAAGTGAATTTTTTAAAGGAACGGACATTTCTGGGCGTGTATTTTGTTAGTCGTTTCTAAACAATGAATTTTAGCCACGAATGCGTATGGTAAGCATATTTGGAGCCGGACTTCTTCTAGGGACTGCCCTTTCTGTAATTATTCCCGAAGGGGTAGAATCTCTCTACAGTGGAGTCGCAGGTTAAAATATTACTGTTCGGTACTCATCTTCCTTAAACGTCTTATACTTCCAAATTTCATTGTCTGTTTGATTTCAAATAGATGCTTAAGAAGGAAACCTCAGACACTTGCGAGAAAGAAATAATCGAGTAAAGCCGGAAGAGACACTTATGAATTCGAAGACCGAGAAGGAAGAATCGCCGGCCATTATCTCCAGAGCATTTGTGGATAAAAATAGAGATGGTGATTCAGGGTTTGTTGGTTTCTTGGTTGTTTTGGTTAATTCTCTGCGCTGTTTGTATTACCATTTCTGTCAATCGTTTAGAAACTCTAAGGACTGGAAGAAACGAGAAATCAAAATTGATGAGTTTGTAATTCCTCAGAAATCCACAAGAGAGAGGCGCGCGCCACCACGTAAGATTGTTTTACTTGATTACACCTGATGAAATCAATTACATTCTTCTTAGGAACTGATCTTATTGAGCTGACGCGAGGTTGGTATAGTTGTTGTTTTTGTTGTTGTCGTTGGTGTCGATGGCCGACGTTTCGACGATTTCGCCTTTTTCAGAATCGTGATGTTACGAGTGGCATCCTAAGTCTATACCAACCTCCCATCAGCTCAACAACACTAGTTCATAAGGACATATAAATAAAAATATTGATCATTTATTCCGAGCTTTTTAGGAAGTTGATCCTTTAAATACATTGTTATGCAGCTGTACTTTTAGCGGTGACATTTGGATAGGGCTACGTTTATATCCCTGTGTAATGGGTATGGAGTATAAGTTCGCTGCCTTTTTGTATGCCTTTTTAGTATGCCAGAGCTTTTTTTTGAAATAAGCGGTTTAAGGTCCAGTTACATTCTTTGTATATTTCCCAACTATCGGTTTTATGAGGGGTTTTGCAACAATCCTGCCAAAGCAGACTAAATTTTTCCCGGTTTTTCAGATGGTGAATCTGCGCTGGATCCAACAGGGAGTGATTATAGCCATAATCACATTTATAGCGGTGCTCACCAGCACATAGGTTATCCTCTCGTGTTTGGATTCGTCTTCATGTTACTTGTTGATCAAATCAGTAGTGTTACTGGGTCTAGAAGTTAGTTAGTTCCCTGATTTTCTCGAATACCATATTTTTTTTAGCAACTTTATTGTTCATCTTTACACCTCATCAGATGATCGTTCTGGGCGCAATCGAATGGGCATATCCGCAACAATCGGGCTTGTGGTGCATGCAGCTGGTATGCGATGCTATTTTCTTTGTTAAAATTTTATTCAGGGTTTAAAAGGACGCAAGTTTTAGATTGTTCGGGAAGTAATGAAGTATTTTCCACGTGCTTATTTGAAGTGGCATATCTCGGCTCGGCACAGATTTTCTTAATCATGATAAAACCGTTAGAATCTCTACATTTTTGCCAACCAAAAGCAAATTTATTTATTCTTTATTCCAGTTGCTTAGAACCCTCGAGTTTCGATGGCCGTGAAGTCATTGAAGGAATTTCGGTCTCCGTTTCGTTTCTGAAGCATTTCTGGGACAAGAAGTTGTTGAGATCCACGGAGAAGTTTCAGTCAGTTAGCAAGAAGTCCGGCGAGAATGGTGGATGAGGCAGAGTTTCGTAGCCCAGCTTTTTCAACCTTTGCAGCGTCGGCAGTAGGACGTGTGGCTGCCCGTTATTATGGTAAAGAACACTTAACTCGTACAGCATCCATTTTTCGAGCCTCTTCGCCTTTCCAGTTTTCTTCAAATGTCCGGAACAGTTGAGATGCTTATACCAAGTTCTTCGTAACGTTCCCGAAGAGTCATGTTTCTATTTACTTTCTCTAAAGTTTTCATTTCATTGCCATGAATAACAAAAGGACGTCCACGAGCTGCCTAACTTTGAACATCGAATTGGTCGTGTCGAAATTTCCCAAACCAACGTCGCACGGTGCATTTGTTCACACATTTGGCAGGCCAGATATCTTATTAATGTTTGGAGCGTTTACTCTGCATTGCGACGGAGTTTGAATTCATAGATGTGAATTTGTCGAAATTCGTTCATGACAGCTCAATTCCTACCTTGGAAAACCTGTCAGAAATATAATTCGTACTATGAGTCAGCGGAAGTGCATAAAGTTTCATATGTAGTAGGACAATTTTTAAACCATTACTCGCTAAACATATGGAAGGGAAATAAAACTACAAATGCTGCATTATTTTCCGAACTACCTAATACAGATGAAGTTTCAAATGAGCAGTCACCTGCTTTAGAGATTGAACAGTTATTTTCTGAGTGCTTCCTTATCTAGTAAGAATGCGATGATAACAACATAATGTTTAGCTACGATTTCAAATCTAGACATGACGGTACGGTATTGGTGGTTTAAAAGCACTTCTTAGAATCATGGATACGTATTAAAATGTGCTTCAGTTGCACCTTGATTGTAAATCGTAGTCTTTACCACAATTTTTATTCATCAGCAGGTTTTTAAAAGATTCACACTTATAGTTGGAGATTTATAAATTTTTTCTATGGGACAGTTCCTTGTTCCATCGTGATGTTTGGTTTTCTAGAGCCCAAAATCCAAAAGCGGTTTTTTTTTAACCCATTTCACCTCGTGTGGACGATACATTGAGTTTAATGGGTTCCAGAGTTTTCTTTTACTGCACTATGTGTATTCATTCGATAACTAATCGAAAGTTGATCAAAATCGGAGGGGTGGAACCAGAAAGTCTTACTCTACAGCTAGTGGTTTACAAGCAAAAGGAAGCATATTTTCAAAAAAGTTCATTCATCTGTGACTCAACAATTACGTTTACATTTAACAATTAGCTGTTATTTCATTTTAATCACAAATGTTATTGTATGAAATCTGTGGATATAAAAAATACCGGAATAGACTCAACATACACTAGTAAACAATAACGTACACCGCATTCATACCCATAACGAGATGGGGCGAAGTACCATCTACAATCCTGCCGTGTTCAAAGTGTCTCAGGTCCTCTATTTAGTTTGAAAGGAGTTTTTGTTTATAAAAAACCCCAAGGTCGGCGGCCGACATAAAATTGCGCGTAGTCCGTTGGATAAGCCATGTAATGCGGAGGCCGGTGCGGAATAGGTTAAACGAGGGTTGTCTATCGAGCGGCGAAGCGATGACAGAAGGGGAATTTTGTCAAGCAGAAAGGCAATGGCTGGACGCACAGACCCCGAGATGCGTTGTATGCTGTGTATGCATATAAGGCATTGTAGACGAGCTGCGTTGTCTCTGTGTGTCTTCTTCAGTGATTTATTTTGCTACACAGAGCTTTTATGTGGCACTTTTGTGTTCAGTGGATGGTTTGTCTCTCCCTGTGTTCTAGGGATTGCTTGTGAAAAGCTATTTTCTACATGTAGTATTTTTGAAAACCCTTTTTTAGACGGGTTTACTGACCGGCAATTTTATTGGTTATTCGACTTTCCTTTCATTTCACTGTGAGAAATTATGGCTATCATATGGAATAGCCAAATCTAAAAAATACCGAAATAGTTGATGTAATTTGTAGATTCAAGTGCTGATAGCAATGTGGTTGGATGGGGATCATAGTAACATGTAGAAAATAGTAGCATACATCATTCATACCGACAGAGTTATACAGCAAAGTGATTTCTATAATTTTATGATGTTCCTTTAAGTTACCAGATTGTTATAAGTCATCATATATTGCTGTAAACCACGAAATCCATGAGCGGTTCATCCAACGCGGCGGCCACGTGAATCTGAACGTTAGGCGTTATATGGTAAACCTATATATTTCATTGGTATTCTTGTTGAGCAAACGCGAGGTGTTATTTTTATTCTTTACGAATAAGTTGACGTTTCGGCGGATTTCGCCTTCCTCAGAGCCTGGAAAGGTGACGTTGACAGCAATCTATTCGTCTAAACACTATAACCGAGCAAAGAAAACAATAAACCAAGATTTCAATCACATTGAACACAGGATAGCTTCTTTACATACTCACCGCTTTCTATGAGTCTTCTACTGAGTACGTCACGTGGAGACCAACCGCACAGAATTCACATGGAGACAATGTGCCCCTCCCATCATAGTAACAGGCTTATATACTGCCCACTGTCACGCGTGATAATGAGACATTCTTCCCTGCGGTTAATTTTCGGATTTCTGGAATTAATCCAGTACGCCTCGAGAGTTTTGGGCGCTTTGCACAATATTTTTTGTTTCACTCTAAGCTATACCCGCGACGGAGTATTGTTAATGTTTGTGGCTACGACGTTTGCATTGGGGATTTCAAAAATTTAAATTTCCTTCTGTCGTTCATAAATTTGGGAAAAAATTGACTAAGTAATAAAATTTTATGAATCAAATATTGAAATATTAAGTGAAAAAAGTAAAGCCAACGTGGACCATTCGTTTGTGTACTAATAATGCCCTATCAGTTATGCCTATTGATGTCATTGATTAAGTAGAGGCTGCAAGCATATTAAAATCTTCAACACTCATTGGTCTAAACTTTTATTTCCTGGCTGTTCTTTTTCCATGGCACGGTACTATATGAAATGCAACCACAAGGGTGCTGAGATATGAGCAAAACTCGAAACCCAGGCGCGCCTCGAACCTGCGTTTACCCATTCCAGGGGCTAGCGTGTTGTCCACCACACCAACCGAGATCCTTACTTTGCTGTTCTTTCAGCCATTTTTTATCCTAACACATAAACCTCTAGAGGAGTTAATGGGCCATTATTAATTTCTCATTTTACAGCGGATGGTGTTGCACTTGGAAGCACTTCTACTACTAACAAATCGGATGTTCAGTTAATAGTTTTCATTGCCATCATGTTACACAAGGTAATGTACTTATAATATTTCGGAATATCATATTTCTGAATGTCCTGCTTGTTTGTAAAAAAAGCTCTCTGCAATTTTCATACGACAGTTTTTGCAAACTTGACTGAATTCTGACTTTTACCAAAATTGAGGTGTTGTCACAAGGAAACACATAGGCTGTACTTAACTACATCCGTGATTTATTTAGCAAAGGATATGAGAAATTTTTAAATGTGGTAGGTCACTACGCACATAATTTAGCGAAATAGTGATCCAAACTGTTAATTCTGCATTTAAATGTCAGGGTCCAGCAGCATTCGGTCTTGTATCGTTCTTGCTACTGGAAGGAATAGATTCGAGAAGCGCACGAAAGCATCTACTCGTCTTCGCCTGTGCGGCACCGTTCGCCGCTGTGCTGACCTTTATTATTCTGGGAAGTGTACGTCGAGTTTTCTGTTTCGAACCACCTTCACTACTGACTATTAGTTAATTTTGGCATGTTTTGCCACTTTTTTTCATTTTTATCAGCTATCATCGACTGATAACTTTTTACTAGTTTAAAGTCTATGGTTCACATGTGAGGCATTGCAATCAATTCCTATGCACTTTTTAAACACTTCTTATCACAGTAGCCTGTTTTTGGGACCAAAATCACTGTTCAACGGCAATTCAAAATGAAAATGCTATTTTTTCATTTTGTCTTTACATTTTACATGCTCGTCGTCATATCTACGTCTTCGAACAGTTCACGTTTCGTTTCGGCTGCTGCTTGAGGATTTTGTCTATAAGAATGTTGTAGAATTTTGACCGAGTCGATTCTCCTTTCGGTCTTGGAGATAGTCAAGCTAGGGCATTCCCACTTGGATTGGAGGAGAGCGTTGGGGAAGGGCTCAAAACAGAACCTTGTTTCTTGATGAATTGCATCGCTAACCACTGTGCTACTGTTCTCCTTTCCTTTCTTCCACATATGTCGAAGGGAAAAGTGGTGATAACAACTAAATATTATTTTTCTCTCAATACTGTGTCTTCCTTAGAGTGAAAATGAACGAATTACATTTATGATGCTACATTCAGGACCTAACTTATCAACAGTTTAAACAAAATCCTTAGGTGGCTTTCCATTAGCGCAACCATGAGCCGCTACTTCATTTTCTAGACGAGTAAGCGCTCCAGCTGTTGTTATGTCATGCCTTGCTAAACTGTCCACTGTGCTAACCGGTCTATCACCCATGGTTTGTTGACGTAGGACCGCTACATATTCAAGTAGCGATAGTGAGGCATTTGATGCGAATGAAAATAAAGCAACAACAACTGCCGACTTTGGTATTCGAGAAACGGAGCACCCATATTTCTCAGACGGCTCTTCGTTGAGAATTGATCTTTCCCCCACAGTGGCAACCTCAATGTTGGACGCAGACAGAGCGAAAACCTCTGCATAATATGTTTTCTTGGAATAGTTAACGCATCTTGGTAGTTTCTGTCTTTAGACTTTACCAACTCGAAACAATGCTTAGAGGCGTCTTATGCTTTTAGCTCGCCATCGATGTATTTTCTCCTGGATCTCCAAAATGAGATAAATTTCGAAAATTAGAGCTTCGCATTGGGACTAGATGTTTGCCGGTTATGTCTTTTAAGACATTGTTCAAACGCTTTGTGAGTAGTGCGCAGCATTTTTGGCGTGGTCGTAGTATCAGTTAACGTTTTTGTTGCATAACAGGTCGCTAGGACGACTGTTGGATCGAAAAGGTGAGCGTCAGTTTTGGACCATTTGCTTGGTTGGTGGCTTCTCTGAGTAGCCCGAATGCGGCCCATGCTGCTGTACTTCTATCTAATTCCTCCATGTTGTTCTCCACGTTAACTGAACGGCCATGGTGCACGTACAAGGTGGTCTCTGTATTAGAGAACCATCCAGTTCGATTTGTTCGACTTCGCACCATGGGTTCTTCATGAACTGGTTCCCCATCTTATTTATACGTAGTATAGTCTTTTTTCTCGCTTCGTTGGGTTCATTAAGCATTGTGGCTGCTTCACTGTTGCTCGAAAAGATGACGATGTCATACGCGAAAGGCAGATTTGATAGGAATTTTCCATTAATACGTGTTCCTTTCTCTTTCCAATTGTATGACTTCATTATCTTCCGCAGTGCGGCAGTAAACATTTTGGGTGATATTGTATCACCTCTTCAAAGTTTTTTCTGCGGGTGTAGTGAGTTGTCGATGGTAAAGTTGTATGTTTGTGCTGCTGTTCCGATAACAGTCAGCTAGTGTTCGTGTATAGGACGGGTCTACTCCTTGATCGACGTGCGCCTATAGGGTTGCAATCGGTCCGATATTGTCAAACACGTGCTCGCAGTGGATAAAGGGTTGAATAAGGGGTTAATGGTACTCGCTACAGACATCTATGACCCTTAATATGGTTTGGATTTCCTCTATACAGCAGAGTCGCTGTCGTGATCCTGCTTGTTCGACTGGTTGCGCCTCATTTAAGATATCCGATATGCGCAAAAGGATAACCTTCATGTATATTCAATAAGCATGTTCTACTGGAATTGCAAAGATTCCTTTTGTCACACTTCTTCTGTAATATGACTGTGCGCGAAGTCCTCCACCGATCAGGGACTACTTCTTTCGAAAGATAAGATATATGAATTGCGAGAACCACATTTAATTTGTAGTCTCCAATTCTGAGAAAATCGGTGGCAATATTATCTGGATTTGGAGGTTTGCGATACTTTTTTTTTCGCAACTCGAGCTTCAGAGCGTAGAATCACTGGCGGTTTTTCACCCGCAGGCATTTCGGTGGCCGAGACTGGGATTGTTGAGCGGAAAAGATTGGTATAGAACTTTTCCTTTATCAAAGCCATGTGCCAGGATGTAGTGGTACTCCCATCTTCGTTCATCAGGGCGGATAGCGGAACATTGCAGTCGCAAAGATCTCGGCACTACTTATTCATACTGGATCTTTTTTAGCTGTTTCCGATAACTTTTTCTTCTTATACCGATGTGAATGCTGGGAAGTCTTTGTACAATTGCTATTTATTATCAGCCGTGTTAGGTGTGTTGCAATAGGATCAAGCATCAGTTTCTCTCTTTTCGAGCAACGCGTTACTGTTAACGGAATTGTGGTCTGAACTTTTTGTTTGAGGAACTGAGACGTGTTCGGCGCAAATTTTAGGTTCCTCGAAGAGCAGCTTCTACTACTCATTCGGGTCTTCCTTTATCTGCCAGTCATGCGAGGAGAGGATAATAGAGAATATTCTCGTCATACACGACTTGTTTCTGTTTTTCTTAAACAATGACAGTTATTTTCGCCTTTCAGCGGCTCAATCAAATTTTCGCACGGGAACATGTTGATCAGATCCAGTGCAGAATCCATGTCTAATCGAGCTGTTAAAGAAGCACCATTTTCTGTTCGTGAGCACATGATCGATCTAAGCATGGATCGTACCGTTGAGAGACATGTCCATCGGTGGTTTTCTTTCTTCAAAAAATAGATTCCCGTTGAAGAGGCGTACTGCGGGACAAGTGTCCTACGAGACGCTTTTTGTTCCCATTTCGTTCTCCTATTTCAAATTTCTGTATCCCCTATTCATACTCGATGGCCTTTCCTAATCCGGAGCTGTAGTCTCTAACGACGAATTTATAGAAAGCCTTCTCGTTGTGGATTACCCCTTCCAACTGGTTGTAGAACGTATCCAGTTCACTATTATCAGCTGTAGAAGTTGGTGAATAGCAGCTGATGGTACTGACTTTTTTATGGGAAAGTTGGAGATGAAAAATGTACAAGTGTCGTTTTAGGATTTCGTATGTGGTGGAAAATAGATGGGTGTGCGGCCAAGCCACCACATCTAACATTTCATAACGGAAATTTCCACAAATGACAATGGTCCCATCTGGTTGACGTATGTTGGTCTTCCTGTTTTTCGTCTGTTGTAGTGTGATCACATGGAATTTGATGCGATGATGCAATCAGCGGTCTCGAAATAAGTGCATGCAGAGCAAGGAGCTATCTTCATGACATATCGTCGGTATTATCGTTTTGCCCGTTTGCAATAACGTTCTGTGCAGCCCGAGATTTAATCATCTCTCACCGGTTTTCTTACCGCTCGACGTAGACGGGAGCGTTTAGTGTGCGGTGTACTGAGAACGGATATTTGCTAGTTATCCAATCGTGGTTCCTTGGAATCCCGGGGTCAACCAAGTCGGAGCCTTCCTCAGGTCGTCTTCAAACAATCACATCCTTGTGGATGAGAGAGAGGTTTGCCACCGTGTGACTACTTTGATACCAAGACGGGGATGTTTTCTGGACCAGTTTACTCCTACCCCAATCTTCCAAATGGAAACGTCGGACTCCTCAGCTTGGGAGACCTTGCTGTGGGATGAACCCTCTGCTGTACATCGTAGCAGTCCGACATTCACCGATATATCCCAGCCACGATGAAGCGGTAAACTCTTGGGAGGGTAAAGATTTAAGTAAACTCCACTAAAAATTCGTTATAACAACGAAAGGTGGTGAGACGTCTGTTATTGTTCTCTCTTCTTTTTCACTCCTGTCTCTCGACTGAAATACTATGTTTTCAATCTCTTTAATTTCTTGTTTTACGAAATTATTCAATCTTTAAAATATTGGTATGACCGGACGTTGTGAATTCGCTCAATGTTCCTTTGTATCGTTGTAGAAAGTTCATAATGTTGTTTCCCTAGTTAATAGTTTAAAGAGCTAGTGTTGTGTTCACTCTTCTCCTAAAGTAATTTCGTTAAATACTGGCAGAAAGCCTTAGTGATTGATTCATCAACTCATGAGGAGCGCACATATTGAAATGAGCTGTTTTTAGCTAGGACGTGATTCAGTGTCATCTTCTGAGTCATCAACAGGAATGCTCATGCTATTTTCTGCCGGAACTTTTCTTTTCGTTGCAACAGTTCACGTGTTACCGGAGCTGGTATGAAGCTTTCTTCATTTTCTCTTTTTTCCAATTTTTTTTAGAGCTATGTAAGCTGCCATCATTCCGGTCATAAAAATTTTTTCCGTGGAAAGTTTCCTGGAGTACAAAAGTTTTGCAGTTATGTCTTCAGCGCACTTCTAAAAGTTTCGTACTTTCTGTCATTCTTATGTATTTTTAGTTACCACGAAATTATAATAAGATATCTACTGTCATGCACTTTCGTGACCTATTTTAAAGAAACCTTCTCCACTTTTCAAAGTGGTGATTCATTTTCATATTCAGGCTTACCATAGTAAATCAGGAAAGGACTATTCTCTCGTGATAGATGCACAAGCACTAGCCACCTCCGGACATTCCCATTCAGGTAAAATTTATAATTATAATTATGGGGTGAAACTCTTTAAGGTATGGAACTCTTAAGGTATGTTAAGGTATGCGTAGTCTGTGATTATCACCTATATCAGAGTTGTGAGAAAAGAACGTAGACAACAGAGTCCTTTTCTGTAGCGTTTCTTTATTATCGACTACTGTAAAGAACACATGTTAAGCAGTGATTAGACTTAAGCTACAATATACACTGAGTAAGATACTGGTTGGATCTCAAGAAAAGAGCTCACTAATCTTTCCTTTATATTTCGGTCGGAAAATTTTTATCAGGCATGTCTGGGAGAGTAACGCTTGTGACGTCAGATATCTTATCTATGCGTTTACTAAGGTCGTTAGCATCTCGGTCCTGTGTGGCAGAAAGACTGAATTGAATTTTAGCGTGGTTATATGGGTGTTATTTATCTATGGTGTTTATTCAAATGCTCCCTTACCGAACAAGGCGTCTTCAATCACAGGCCAGATGCTTTAGAATCCATTGTTTAATGGAAATGTGAAGCGGACACTTGGTTTCTAAGGCTAGACGGTTATTTGGTAATGGTCCATGGTTTGTGATTGGTTTGTGATAATTGCTCACATTTCCCTCCAGACTTCTTCGACTTCGACTTTTAGGTAAACATCTAATTGCGAACTTTGCGTGATTGGTGATTCATCGCTTTATAGGAAACTACCCAAGGTGTGCCGGTATCATCTCCATCACCTGTAGTCTTGTTGATCGTCGAGTGACTCGAGAGGGCGCCAATAAATCTTGGCGGATAAATCTTGCATTTTTCCCTGTCGCGTGCAACAGTGGTCGAGTGGGTCCTACTCGCTCTAACGATTCGTTGAGCATCATGCCTTTCTTCATGGCTTTTCGTGAAGAACTCTTACCATTGGGTCTGTGGTCTTCCTGCAGTACGTTTAATATCCCGAGGTCCCGAGGAATCCAGTCACTAACGGCTCTTGTCCGTCGGTTGTCATTCATATGTATTACGTGTCCGGCTCACCTTATCTTCGACTGTTTGGCGTACAGAATGACATCTTTGATTTTTGGTCGTTGACGCAGGTCGAAGCTTCAAATCCGTTCCCTTATGTGACACAAGTTACTCCTAACATCGTCCTTTCAACTCTGCATTCAATAACGCTGAGTGATCGTTCATCCTGCTTACACACCGATTAGGTTTTATATGCTAAGGCAGAAAGTACCGCTGAATCGAAAAGGTGAGCACGGAGTCGGGTGTTCTTTGTTCTCTTCATAACATCCTCGTTGCTTTTGAAAACTCTCCAACGTTTCCTTCTGCTCAACCATGGATCGTTCATCATGTTGATTTGCCGATCTAGATAGACGTAACTGGAGTATTCGTAGGTATTCGTGCCATTGAGCGTTAATGAAGCATGGATTACTAATCCATTCCTCATGGACATAGTTTTTGTGAGATTTAGTCGAATACCAATTTTTCCACAGGCTTTGTAAAAGTCGGCAAGAATCCGTTCCACTTGGCTAATGTTTGCTGTTATAAGAACTATGTCGTCAGCAAAGCCAAAATAGTTTGTGAAATTTTTGTACAGCTCACGAAGAATCTATGTACTGAGTGGGGACTCTTTGACTATCAAGAGCTTCCATGACCGCTTATATCTCAGTTGAGTCAAAGGTTTTCTTAAAATCGGTGTACGGTGGGGCTTGTTATTGTATGGCTGTGGTACATAGTACTAAATCCTTTTCGAAACTCTGTTTGCTCACATGGTTGCTCTTCGTCCAGTGTTCCATCAATCCTGTTTAGGATGACTCGAGTGAAAGGTTTGTAGACGACAGACAGTGAGCAGATTGGGCAATAGTTGCCGATATCGTGGAGGTCACCCTTTTGGAAAAGGGCACGGTCTTGCTGGTCTTCCATTGACTAGAGAGCTTGCATTCAGGCAGGTAACATGTAGGACTTTTGGAAGGTTCCGCACGTGTTCAGATCTTGTTCTGTCCTGACCTGGTGCTGCTCGATTTTTCACCAATAAGATAGCTTGTTGGATTTCGCAAGGGTGAACCGGTGGTACGACATCTCCATCCTCTTTTGTTTCATTTGAGAGAAGGAGGACGTGGTTGTTGAAGAGATCTGAGTAGTAGTCGTGAATCTGTAATTTTTCCATCTGGGCATCTGAGTGAAATCATCGTGGTTTCGTAATTAGAGAAGCATCTATGGGCTTTGCGAATTTTTTCCCATCCTCTGCGGCTTCGACTATAACTGCTGTTCTTCTTTCTTTAAGATTTTAAGATCTTCTTTTATCACCTGTCTGCATTGTTTTGCAAGTTCGGACGTGAGTTGGCACTTGCTCTCAGCTCGTGCGATTTTACACTGGCGTATCAGCTCGAGTGTTTCTGGAGACAGACCTCTCTTGATGACTTTCGAACTGTCAGTTTTCGCAGCGCCAACGTGAAGTTGTTGAATGAACCGATCGTATTCATCGTCGATGTTATCGATAACGGCATTTTGCCAACAGCCGACAATAGTGAATTGAATACATCCCAGTCTGTGATGGTTTTGGGACTTCATTTTTTTTTTCAAATTTATCGGCTTTTTCTCGTTCTCTTTCAGAAATGAAATCTTTCGCGAAGGAGGCGATGGTCTGGTCTCATCGGTAAGGGAAAACCTTCGATTTGATATAATATGATCTATTTAGTTATGATACTCTTCACTGGAAGACTCCCACCTCCAGCGTTGAGGGTGGGGCTTCTGGAATTGCGAGTTACCATGGATCATTGGTCGTTATGATAAACTTAGACAGCCGCTCATCCTGTTCGTTCCATTCTAATCCGTTGGTCCCAATGTGACGTTGTTCAGATGTTCCTCTTGATCCAATCGTGGCATTGAAATCTCCAATGATGACCTTGAAGAATGTGTGGTCTTCTCTGTAGAACTTCTCCAATTCCATATAGAACGCTTCGACTTCTTCGTCATAGCTTGATGTTAGCGCGTAAACGACAAAGATTATCAAAGCTGGAATTGTTCCACGTTTTTTTAATCGTAAACATCCGATTCGGGTTGTAAGTTGTTCGAATGAATCGATGTTCATGGACAAACTCGTGTTGTCGAGAACGCCGACGCCGCCGACTCTTCTACTGTCGCATGTTCCGAGGAACAGTTCTTCTCCGGTGTCATAGAGGGCGTTGAAAGGCTGGCGTCTCCTCGTCTCGGCCTGGCAGATGACGTCGTACCTTATCCTTCTTGCTTGCATGAGGAAGTTTTCTGTCGAGGAATCGGATGCAAGTGTACGTGCATTGTAGGTACAGATCGTCACCATAGTTCTTTGAAATTCAAGCAGCTTTCATTGGCCGTGAGATTTTAGCAGCCTCTCCGTACTCGTCCTACCCAGCGCTGCGAAATTGGGGACTCTTTCGGGGTTAAGGGAATAAGACCCGTTTGTTTTACTGTGTTTAGCATTTTTGATACCCACGTATAGCTTGCTGGGTTCCGAACGTGGGGGCTGTGTATACTTACGGGTAGCTTGCCACTCTTCCAGAGTGGACATGGAGATTACTTGTTGGAGGCGACTCCTAACCGCCTCTCATATGCTTTACTGTCACTTGATTGCAGGCTTTTGGCCGAATTGTCTCGTAGAATACAATCCGCATAAGCAAGAACGCACCCACACACGCATGCATGAATACGCCTAGCAAATGCAGAAAGTATGTGCCAAATCAGCGCAGCAGAAACGGGTGGTTCATCCCCTGGATCCACCTGCGTCTCAGGGAAGCGATGGTCGCTTTTGGTCCGCGATTAACCCCCTATCCGCCGCGTGGGGACGTGCCACGTAGCCTCGCGACTAACCGGCTCGAGATCCCTCATATGAGGGAGATCCGTGGCATTATTATATTATTATTATCACATTATTATACCGTATTATCGTGCTCAAGAAAAATGCCGACTGTACTGCGTTGTTTTGCAGGAAACATTTTTAAGTATTCGATGTTGTTACCAAAATTATATCGCTTTCCCAAGAAGGACATCTTATGGGGCATTTTTCTACAATAGCTTTTTAATCACTGAATGAGTAGTATGAGTACAGACTTCGATCGAAATTTTCGACTTATCTAATGTGCAGATCACTTCTTGGTGAGCTTTTGATACTGTTTTTTATCCCCCATTTGTATTGATAAGTCGGGGCTTGTACTATTGAGGGCTCGTAGCGCAGTGGTAGTGACGCCGTTCATCACGAGCAAGGTTCTGGTTTGACTCTACTCCTGGCTCAAAAGGCCTGTCATCCCACCGGTGTCGGGAAATTGGTACCAGACTTGCTCGGACAAGACCACTTCCTCGAGGCCGAGTGGGAACACCTTACTAAGGCTATCTGGAGGTTGTAAGATGAAGCAGCGCAATCAAGCATTCGGTGAAATTCGTGACGAAGGCATAGAAATTATCAAGAAGCAGCCAAACTCACACACGAACTTCGGGGAGCTTCTTGGATGATGGATGCAAGGAAATGAATCGAATAAATTAGTGCTGGGATCTCTATAGTAGATGTTAGAACGGGCCGTGTAAAAAGGAATTCTTTGGAATCACTGGTGCGCGGGAGTAAGCGGAAAATCCATGACGAGGCGGCACACCATGATGTGAGTTGGCAGAGGCAGATTTTTTATGGCTTATTTGAGAAACAACCTTCGTTTATTTGGGAACAGTATCGAATAATAACTACGATAGGAAGAGAGGAGGTAATGACCTATGATTCTTAACTACAAAGATTCGGCGAACCATAGGGCTCTAGTCTGGCATACCAAAATTAAGAAATTGTTCTATGGATTCGGTTACATGACAGAGTAATCTGTCACATGTATATAAACGCGCCGGTCAGTCTTAAATCGAACCAATGTGGTCCATATTTTATGAGCTCTTCGGGGCATCTGTATTTCAAGAAATTTAACGATTTCTACCCAGGCGAAATAGGGCTTATAAAGTTTTGTTTGTAAACCACAGATGACAGCAGTTAAAACGTGATTCTTCATAGACAATATCACATACCTGCTCTGAAGCTCGGGTGTCCTTTCGTTCTTTAGTGCGTGACTTGCAATACTGCGTATGTAAAAAGTAGGATATTTGAATACTGTGAGACTCTGTCACTTTATGCTTGGTTTTCAGGTGATGCAAGCTTTTCTATTAAAGAACTAGCTGCAATACTACTAGGAGCTTTTGTGCCAACCGTTTTATCTTCCGGGCATTCGCACTAGTTCGGGTTGGTCGTTATTCGATGTTATAGCTCTCGAAAATGGCATGCAAGAAAATTCGTCATGGAACTAAGAGAACGCTAATCACTCCGTTCCTAACTGTAGCTTTTTCGAGCGTTGCTAGTTTCTATCGAGTCGTGTGTGTGGCATGTGCCGTTTCCTTCATTATTGCTGTCATTAAATCACCGTTATTTGAAAAATACATATTTGCTTGCTCTATAGATATCAAATTGAGGGCAGCCTTTTGTGGATGTCGTCTCTCTTCATGAGTAGTCTCATATTCCTCGTCTTGCCTATGGAAGTACTGTGATTTCTGGGAATGGGTAGTAAAGTGTTTGCCATTGTTAACATTTCTATGTCCAAATTACGTAATGGTATAATGGTTAAAAACGTCATCGAGAATGTGTTTATTGTATTCATAAAAGAAGCATCGCTGAAAAGAAAAACCGTAATCCCATAGTTCGGTTTGGTACGAAAACCGACAGTGAATTATTATACCACTCACTACTAATTTGCCACTTTTCTCCTTGGCTCACAGTTACATCCAGGACCTAGATGTTTAAAGTGTGGTTGTAGGAAAGATCCTTGAAACAGATAAAAGATCCGTATAGGAAACAGTTTTTAGGTAACTAAATGAGCCTTGACAAATATATAATCAATAAGTTCAATGACCGAGAGCTCGTAGCATTGTCAATAATTGTTGGGCTTATTGAACTACATTCCTCATCGAAATCGCGGCCTACTGTACTTGGAAGAGAGCGGCAAACTATGAAACTGGTACACGAGAAGCCTTATACAATGGCGAAATTCTGAGCTTAACAACGGCAATGGCTAGAACAATTGTGAGCTGGACAACAGAGTTTGCACCGTTGCCGTCTGCCGATGTCGTTGCGAGCTAGGCATGTCATAGGGTAGAGGTCACTCACAATTAGCTATATCACACATAATAATACGTCATACATAGAAAGGATTAAATTTTCTCGTCCAACACACACATTTGAGAGATCGAAGAGTAACAACAAGAGGGATATATTAGAACTGTGTTTGGCGGCACTGTAAGTGCGTGATTCCACGTTCATTTGCAACAGTGGGTGTTATTGTTATAAGTATTAACTATATTTACAATAATAGGAGCTTCTTTCCAGATTGGTTGTGAGGCCTGCTCTGTGGGATTTCTTTTTGGTTTCCATGACCAGCTGCTCTGTGGAAAGAAGTGTTTTCAATTAACCATCGTATTTGGCGTGGTGGCTACTGACGATGACGAAGCGTTTGATGTCGTGGTCGAAGCTGGTGATGACTGCTGCGCCGGTTGCTAAAATGACTCAAATCATAAAGCTGTCATGTACTATGATCGTATTATCTTTTCTGTCTTCTGAGAATACAGAGACTGAGAAAAGAAAGAGTTGAAATCCTGATAATGTGAGGAGAGTACGAATTCGTTCTTTCCTAAGATCACTACCGCTATAATGTCATGACTTTTTGTCAATGATGAAAGAGTCACAAGGGAAAGCAAGAGTGAGAAATGCTACGTAATTATTGCATTACATTTTATTGTGTATTACTATTAATATTTTCAATCCAGTAATTTCTTCCATGTTATGTTCTTCAAGTGCGTTCCTTGACTCGTAACCTTACAAGAAAAATAAATCTAACATGACTGTTCTGCTGAGTGGTTGTGGCTCCCGTGGTACCAAGACCAGCTGCTTCCCTTTGTCGCTTGAACTCTTCGTACTCGTCACCCAGTATTGTCGCGATCTCACTCTGCATGAATGCCCATGGCATGACACTGCTCACTAGCGGACATTTCTCGCCGGACGGACAGTACAGATCCTGATCAAAACTCGTTAGAATACGTCTAAGCAAATTTTTCTCAGGTTAAAAGGCTCTACGTACCTGACCGGTACATTGCTTTTTAATGGAGTTACGGGAGCAGGGGAAGCAGAATTTGTGAGCTGGTACACTAGGACACTGCACAAAGTGTGTGTCCTCAAGCCGCTGATTACACAGTGTACAGCGTAGGACACGTTCCCTGAAAAAATAGCGACATTTCTGGAAGGCTAACTGCCCTCCTTCAAAACGATAAAGGGTCCTTCATATTCACTGTGTTTTCGTTATCTTTACAAACCCTGCGGTGGTGAACCGTCGCCGTTCAGCGTTGACATCAGGGTGGTCAGGGCTGTGAGTAGACGTTGGAGAAACGGACGTCGTTTGTGCGTCTCCTGAAAACATTTTCTTGGATAATTAAATTTAGTAGTAAAAGACCCGCTCACCGCTTATACAAAGCAAAAAACAGCTCGCCCATTTTTGTAATAGTTTTTTTTAAGGTGGATTGAAGGATAATTACCAATTTACCACGTAAATTATACACTGAGCGTGTTTAGCTCAGCAGTTGGAGCTGCTCTATACAATACACCCACGTTTTTTAGTTCGAATCTGTACCTCGGTCAAGCCATACCACTATATGCTTGCAGGCCAGCAAAATTGGTGCCGAACTTGTACGGGAGCATAGAAACACTTAAGTGATATCTAGGTAAGCTCCTGAAAGCCATCGTGTAGGCCAAATATGCATTCAATCACCTACATGATCCTTGAAGAAGTCAAATGCATGCTACATCCTACAAGGATTGATCAACACCGAACACTTTTTCTTTTATGTTGCACACTGGTAATCTGGCCACTAGTGAACTGCTGGGAAAGTGGAAACTGTTTAGTATAGCCTGAAACAGTCGATGCCAATAGACATCAATCATGAAGAGGAAAATCTGAGGTATCAGAAATCTGCGTGACCGAAAAAAAGAAAAAACGCTGAAGTCAATTTGTGAGTAGAAGCCTTTCCTCTCATTCTTCTACATGCGCCATTGATATTATGCTTCAGACTGCCAGTATTTCGTACCAATTCTTCCTCTTCACATCCTTTCTCAACCACATGGAATTTCCTTCACTGCAAATCGAAAAGGATTTCACGTACTGTCCGTGTGATGCTATAGTTCGGTATGTGTGTGCGTGTGTTTGTGATGTTAAGGGACAAACGAGAGGTTGTGCAAGCACTTTGACTGGTTCGCGCTGTACGCCGCTACCCGCGCGCAATCTGCATACAGCTCGGCGACGACGGCGGTGTGTCAACACACGCGCGCTGAATTTCCGCGGTTGACCCGCGCGCCCCTGCGGAACCGGTTCGCCCCGCATAAACACCCTGAATGACAATAACCCTCTCCTCATCGCCAGTTATAGCCACTAACTCTGAAGTTCGTAAACATATCTATGAAGAAGGCTTATTGAAAACATGGACTTTTACAAACATCGTCAACGAAATTCTAGCCCACTTTCTCTGCATACTGTAACCTAACAGCACGTTAAGATGTAGATGTACGATGAACGTTAAAGTATCGGAAGACAATAACCCGCTGTTAGTCGTGTCCTTGGCGCAGTGTGATTCGCTCAGCCAAGCAAAAAAAAGAGCGGCGGTCATTCATCGCGCTGGAGACATCGTGAGGTCTCAAAAACTCATAGATCTAATTATCTCACCTAATACCGTACTTGGTTCGTCCTCACCTATCAGTTTCATGATAGCAGGGGAAACAAAAAAGCCGCTTTTCTCGACACAAGACTGAATACTAGATGTATTGCATGCATGGATTGGTGCTAAAGGGATAATTAGACCTAATAATTATGCATTACTTGTACAACTTTGCCATTCGAAAATAATTAAGGTTTTGGGTTGGATGCCTTCGTATTTCCATAAGAGAACTGTGGTTTTTGAAATGGGTTGTTTTTTGTAGGCGACGGTTCCTTTTTCAGAACGTTGCCTCCCATGAGTACTCAGCCCCATTATAGCCGCTTATGGTGCTACATAAACGAGTAATGTCAAATGAGTTGCGACAACCAGTTGTATTGCGTAACTGCTTTGCGGCGTAAGAAGCGGATAACTAGGGCGTAGATGAAAAAAGACCAAACCTGAAAACTACAACTCGTTAGCGTCAGCTATCCGAGAAAATGAGGTCACTCGCGTGGATTTGGCTGTGGAAGACGAGATAGTATGCCCAGCATGCAGGTATTCATGCTTCGAAGGGTATTTTCAGCTAATAAACCTATGCTCATGGTGATATGCGAGGGCAGAACATCGACTAGTACAATGTCCATAATTTAAAGGCCGTTCTAACATATTCCATATCTGAGGTTATAGTGTAGGTATTACATTTTTCTTAAGTGATAAGGTATAGTATGATGACAATCGAAGGAGCAAGCGCACAGTGGTAATGATGCCGTTTATTACGACCAAGGCGCTAGTTCAACCCTGCCCCGGACCCACAAAACCTCCGATCTCTGCTGGATCCAGTAATTGGCACCAGACTTGTCTGGAATTGGCTCGTTCATGCAATCCACGTGGGAACGCCCTAGCACGACTATTCCAAGATTTTACACCTGCCAAGCAGCTATCATATGCAATCTGCAGCCTCAAAATACTCGCTGAATACACTCTCATCTCCGCAATAAGGAACTCCTGTCTTTTTTTGTTTTTCTCTTCTTTTAGAACGAGGATGATGCTGTATTTGTGTTTTCGAGTGCATATTCGCATTTGTTGTGAAGACTTTGATGATGCTATTTATGAGCACTCTCAAATCGTAGTTCGGTTCTGAAAGGTGGTGATAGATGTGATGAATACAAATCGTTCCAGAAGTTCCTACAAGCGTGCTACATATGTTCTCCTCAGCAACTCCCCAGCTCTGTTAACTAAACTCATTACTAAAAAATGGTAATAACAACTGCACAATGACTGACAAACCAAATTAATGCGTTAATAATCAAGTGAACTACTTATGATGACCTGGGAACTGTGGCACCGCTACCTCTAGACAGCAGATCCTCAAGCCACTGGCGCACCAACATACGAAATGAACCATAAATATGGATGACAATTGCAACACGACGAATCGAACAGAACAAGGTCTGGTGACATCATAACAAGTGAGGAAGGAGCAAGCTAAGTATATAACATGCATATTTTATAGCCACTGTCCATCAGTAAGCAAATGAATGAGCAGCTGTATATTGATGCAAATTTCTAGCGCATAACTGCGATCCCCAATCTAAACACGAACCTGGTAACTGGGGGTCGTGGTCGGATATTCTCGGTGTCGGTACCTGTTGGCACGAGAAGAGGTCGCTGATGAACGAGTACACTAGGAGAGGAGACACAGCTGAGTGGGTGATGAGGGAGTGTGAGAATCATAGGACACAGTGATGTTGAACGGAACCGGTTGTACGGAGCGAAAACCGGGTTTCTGTCGCGCTGCTCTTGCGCAACACGCACTTTAGCTTGTCGAGACTTGTGGAGAGGAATAGAAGCGCAAATTATCGGTCTTTAGCATTCTCACGTCATTTCCGCAGCATGCTTAACGAAGAAGTCACAAGATGAGAATAGGACCGTCAAAAACACCAAGAATTCGTCACGTGGGATCGGTTCGTTTACATTAGAAAGGATGTTGCTTAAATTACCTATAACGTAATTAAGTTTGTTTTCAGACCTTTATCACCTTTGCTCCGACGTTTGTAATGACAACCCAAATGTTTCTCAGGGAAATATTTTGGGTACGCCGTTGGTGTTATAGATGAAAAAGGATTCGTAGGAGTTCACCCGATCTTTTTGTGTCCTTCTGCATAATGTAAATCGGACACACCACCAAAATGTAGTTCATAGCGATGTTTCAGGTCTTACCTCTTTGTACTTTGCCGAAAAGCTCTGGTTTAACATCGTCGTCATGCTCTCGTTTTCGACCCATTACGGTGTTCAAGCCTGCTGGTAGAAGCCCATTCATTAGCTGAGACTGGAAGCCCATTTGAACAGCTGAAATCCCTGCGAGGTAAGATTTTTCTCCGACTTCTGTTTTGGTGAACAAGCTAGTTCGGACGAGGAGTCAACAGACTTCATAGACCCTTTTACTCAAAAGAGTGGTACCATACCGGGATGCAGTAATTGAGTGTTGATGGGATTTCGTAGCTGCTGAAGCATAGCAATGTCCTCGACGGAAAGTCCAGCTCCTTGACCTCGTGCCAAGGAGAATAGTCTTTGCTGCTGAGCAAGAACCTGAAATGTTCTGTCATTCTAAAGTCTTCGATTTGACTGAAACGGAGCATCACAAATAGCTCACATCAGTGATTTGAGCGAGTTGTGAAGGCAGCTGAGGAATGTGTGGATGCGGAGGTACAGGGATTACTCGTTGGGGACTCAATCGTCCCGCCGTCGTCGTAGATGGTTGTGGCTGTTCCTTCTGAACAGAACATCTAATTTAATAGTAAAACACCATAATACAGGACAGTACCTGTTGCTGACGTTGTGATTGAACTTCACTAATAGGGAAACCGTGTATTCTCTTCATGTTTCGTGCGTGCTCTATGACATTTTCGATTCTAAAACGGAAACTAATTGTTCAGCTAGTTTTTTAAAAGCAGATTTTCTTGAAGCACAGAAAATCCTTGGAAATCTATCAATATTTTCATCGATTTCCTCAATCAATATATTTCAACTGTGTAATTAAAGTCGTTACGATTTCTGATATTCGACTGACAAACCGAGTGAAGCAACAGGTCAAGGAATCCAAAGATCGGAGAGAAAAATCATCTGTCCACCCTTCCAAAACGAAAACAAAGTAACTTCGCCATGTGACTAGAGGCGAAAACAAAGGTCACAACTCGCTACTTTAGCCTTTGATAGCGGTTCTTAAGATAAGAGGAGATGCACAACGCTTACGTTGCAGCAAAGAATGGACTAGGCAAAGAATAAGGAACGAAAAGACTCTACGTAGCTATTGCTTAGTTTGACCTATGATGCTTACCGACCAACCATGTGACGCACACAGAAATCATCATTTATTGTCTTGCTTTTTAACGGCGTAACCTCGGGTTTACACGTTTTTGAAAAACATTGCCTGAATCCATAGTGGTTCACACTATTTGATAGCTAGCATCTACATAATCTCTGTAACCTTACCTAAAAGAATATTTTCTAATATCTCGATAAGCTAGAAATCACTCCCACACGCTTAAATCTCATCCTAATTCCATGCAGCAGAACCTTTTCGTATCTTTTCATGAGACCCTTTTCAATCTATGAACATTTATTTATAATTCGTAATCGTTAAATGGGGCGGCTTGCGCAATGCGAATGACATAGTTCATTACGAGCAAGGCATCGTTTGAACCCTGCCCCCGTCCACCAAGACTATCATCTCTCCTGGATCGGAAAATTGATGCCCAACTTTCATGGGTTCAGTACACTCCCTCCAACCTACATGGGACCGCTCTTGGAAAGCTATTTCATAACTCTAGGAAAAATCGAGCAGGCCTAATTCAAAGCCATTCATAAAGAAGCCAGAATTCGTAAGCAGTCTCTGACCCGCAAACATAAATTTCGGGTAGCTTTGCAAAGTATGGATCCGAGGAAACAAATCGAATACGGGAAGTGCTGACATCCGTAAAATATTCTGAGTAGTGTGAAGAATGAATTCATGGATTCCCTCTCTGTAAAAGCAGAATCCTAATGGATATAAAGCACCTGTCAGCTCCTTCGTAGTTAACACATCCTCTGCAGACTGGCTCTACATAATCGGTACACATAGCCCACGGCCACCTGGGCAGGTCACACAGGTAGCAGTGCTGCCTCTGGGCGACTTTCGCGCCTGTATTTGGAAGTCCGGCTTGAGACTGCCCGTTCATCGTTGCAAGCATACTGAAATACTGCTATAGAAAAGCCCTAAAAACACCAATGTATGTATTGCGATAACGTGGAACATAAAACGTTTCGGGCCTAGCAACATCTACGTGTACATTAATGAGTTAGGAGAACAAATTATAGAGACTAAAATGTACAGAAACGTGAAATGACTAGACTGATGAAGCTCCACCACTTCTTCATTCTCTGCTTTTTTCTAAACTCTAAGTGGAGCAGCTATGTTTACCAGAAATGTGGCTACTTCTTGCAATGCTTTCGAAATTTGTTAGTAGATAAACTTTGTGATTCCCATTAGTGGTGAGCGTAAAACCCAGCTGTACATATTGGAGCAGCGGTTCTCTCCCAAAAATGCTTTCACTACACTCTCAAAGCGTTTCTGCATGAATGTAAGCCATTTTTTAAAGACTTGATTAATTCGTCTACCAGTTTTTCTTTATAAATAGTTCCATGGGAATATAAGCAAACAATGTCGGAATCCCTCCCAACGGTTTACCGCCTCATTGTGACTTGTTCCTGGGTGTCAGGCTGCGAGGTACAGCGAGGGGATTCATCTCCTTGGCAGGATCTCTCAAGCTGAGGAGTCCGACATTTCCATCAGGAAGCCCAGCTAAGAGTAAGTCAATACCAGAATCCACCACTGTTCTGGTATCAAAGTCGCATGGTGGCAAATCTCCCTCTGATCCACAATGGCTGCGACTGCCTGTGGTGGTGGCGACCTGGGGCAGACTTTTGCCTTTCTGACCTCGGGACTTCAGGGAACCACAAAGGCTAAACCAGCAAATCTCCGAGAAAATACAGATTGCGTTGGTGCCCCCAGAACCAGTGAAGACGGGCTATCCAAGCATCCAAGTAATGTCGGAATCTACCAAGATTTTCGTAGTAGACTGAAACTTCGTGTAACGCGATGCTTGATGGCAACAAATTGAAGAAAATTACGAGTACAGCTGCAAAGAAAAATCTTGTAGCTAACATTTAGTAGGCACAATTTCAATAACAATTTCGCGCTATATTTACGGGTACAAACTACGGAGTCATTGTGAATATGGAGATTCGTATGAGCATGACCTCTGTACGATTACATAGAAAGAAAAACTTGAATTACAATGAACAAAGAGAAGAGAACGTTTCATTCAGTGAAAACAGTCGTGTTCGATGAATGTTAGCTGAAATCCAAAGGAATTGTATGCAACATTAAAGTAGATATGAATTGTTTACCATAGTGGAATAAGAATTTCTGATAAAGAGCCTGACGTACAGATAACGTTGCTATTTATCATGGAACGAAAGCAAGAGATGAAAATACAAAACAGAACAGGAACAAGAAGAAAGCAAGAAGGAGAGAAGGAGTGATGGTGGCCACGATGGGCGCAGTGACGATGACGGTGTGTCGCTCTGCTTCTGACTCAAGCGCTGAATCCAGCGATGAATAAGCGGTATAGAAATAACGCGCCAAATGCTCTCACGAGTAAAAATCTTCAGTTATATACCCTGGAAAGTGTGACACAATCCATGGAGTTCGTCTTTTACGCTTCCGTAGAGAAGAATTGAAAGTTGCTCGAGAAAGAAACCACTTCAGGATAATTTAAGCCTAACCAATTTCGTTTAATATCAGTTTCCATGTAATTTTCACGAAATTTTCAAGAAGTTATTCTCTATAATGTGGGGATGATCTTGAAGTGACTTGAAGATTCTTTAGCAGAAAAGTGGACTAATAGTTGGGTATTGAAATACTGTGCATTGCATAACGATATTTAGCAAATGAAAGTTCGACAAGGTCATAGAAGAAAACAATGCAAATGAGCTCGTTCCATCGGGCCGGAAGAGAGGAATTCTCGAGAAGTCGGCATGCATATCATTAGAATCTCATTTGGTCATGCATAAAATTTAGCCGCTAACATACGGAATGCTCAATGAGATGCCGTTGTGTCTACTGGGAAAATGGCACAAAGTGAACACACACGCAGCGGTCTGTGTTCCAAGAGATACACTGGAAGATGTGCACGAAGGTAGGTAGACGTTAACATACACTTCCAGTACGCTGGAACGATGCGGAGGAAGTTCGCTTTGAAACCGACCAGAATAGAGTAAAATCAGGTCGCGAACCATCGACGACAAGTAACCGACTGTGCGACGGACCTGATTTGGGTCGCGATCGCTACGCAATTGCCGCCTGATGGTTGCGACACTATCGCAGCCGACCTTGTGGAGTTAGGAACAGGTGTAGCTCATGAGGAGAGCTCACAGACTCGTACAGAGACATGTAGGATACGTAGCCCAGTTGGACAGAGGAAAGCAACATCTGTGAACTAGCTAGTAGGTTGTTGTACTCTTTATCAATTTGCAAGTTCCACGACTTCTTGGCGCTCTGAAGCTGATCGATGGCAAAACATCATTTAGCCCTCATAAGTTAAGCCTCTAAAACTAACTGTTGTACTAAACTCTGCATTTGTATACCTCATACATTCTACATTTTATGGATAAACCTTTTAGGAATAATGTTCTCTGTTCAGAAGAAAGAAAGACAAGCAATAATATGATGTACGAGAAAACTAGGATCGTTTAAGAAACAGCTAGTTATGAGGACTGAAGACTCAGTTGGTAGTTGGTAGGCTGGAATGGTGCTGCCAAGCGTTTGTGATGAGAAACCGTGAATACGAAGCACAACGACGAATATTTACGAACAGGAAAATACGATGGTATTCGATGTTGTTGTACAGATGATATACGTACACAAGATGACACATTGTGTTGAAGGCAACAGCGGACGCGCTGACGAAGTGCTCGGTGCCGTTCAAAAAATTTAATCAATTTCACACGCCCAGTACGACTTCTTCAAAACGGTCCAGCATTGTGCCAGAAGGAACGCATGGCTTGGAAGCAGTTCAGGAAACAGATTTCTGCCCCCACGAGCCTGCAACATTGTGATGAAGTGGTTAAGGCAGCAATCCGGACATGACCCATGAAACTCTGTGAGACAAGTCGGCTAACTGAGCAAGGCAAATTATGAAACACTAAAGTCCAAGATAACAGTGGAGAAAAGATCAAGACATAGACGCGCTGCAGAACGTGCGATAGAGTCGCTGATAAGAAAGGCCCTTGAGGGTAGAGGACGCGACACGGCTGTGACATTTAGCTACACCATTGGCATTTTATTGTGACAAACGAAAAATTATGGCGCTTGTTGTATACTGTCGTACAAGAAAGCCAGCCAATACTCAGAACTCCGAAACTGTCGAAACGGCACGAAACGAACGATTCAGTCTTGAACTGTAAGGGAGTTAATTGAGAAGAAGTAAGAAGAAAAACACAATCAAATAGCCTACTTGTATTCCAAATGCAATCTAATCGTGGTTCTGGACTGTTGGATTCGAAAGAGATTGTGGTGAATGTACGGTCAATTCGTGTATGCAGAGTATAGAAGTGATGAAGTGAAGAGAGAGACAGTGTGCGAGTGGCCAAACAAACTTCAACAAATACGGAAGTTCCATCAGCAGCAAGCTGTGAGATCACAAACAATAAAGGTGAATCTGGAATTGAAACCACAGCGAGAACTCGTAATAAATAATAGTTTTCCCCAGTCTCTGAAAAGAAATAACGAAGTTTGACACGACCGTATCACTTGGTCAAAGAAATAAGAGGAATTCGATAAGTTAGGCAACACAGTGGGTCCCAAGAATCGAGAGTTGAGATTGGGTGAGGTGGCGAAAGGAATGGATGACGCAAGAAGTTAGCAAACATGCGACAAGTTCAGGCGGTAGACGCCACAGTGTGTTTTTTTTCAATTCGGCGAATCAAGAATAGCTATCACCTGGTAAATAATACACTACTGAAATAAAGCTTACCCACAAACCAAAGCTCAACTTGTGTTCAAACGCTCAGTTTAAGACATGGCCTCATGAGTGGAGCTGTGAAAGTAGGCCACAGTAGCGCTAAAAGTCGATCCGTAGATAGGAAGAGCAGAGTTTTTCGCCGTTAACTAAGGTTTTTACACGCTATGTCATTGCTAGAACGATTAAGATCTTAATGATCGACAGCGCACTCAAGTGTTTCCCATGATTTCTAAGACCATACTTCTCCTTTCTAAGTGCAAATTCTGAAAAGCTAAGTTGAATTTACATAATTTAAACCAAATCTCTTCATTTCAATAGGGATATCGCTTATTCCAATTTCAAACACCAAATGACCATTTGTGCGACCATTCAACGGATTTTAAGGTTTTAGAAAATACATATTAAATTAATGAATATGAAAGTATAATTATAGGGTGTAATATACATTGGTCATTTCATGAACAATCTGGTTATTTTGGTCAGTTTTTAAACTCCTAATTTGATAGAAGGTTAAGAAAACCAGACTACGAAAATGAAAGAATCGTACGACTGATGGGTCCAATTGAGTTATCACATCAGCATTCCGTCAATCTACACGAAGCGTATCTCAGATAACTTGTTCATTTGTGCTATCACAGTCCACGGAATAGATAAGGCTTCTGCTTGGTCACGAGACACGTCAATATTCACGGCTTCAACAACGTCTTCCAAATGCTGGCTTTGGCTCTTAGTTATTGGATAAGTAGAAAAGTTGGGTAACCCTCCAGAAGATTAGTACGGGCAACAGGATTTTCGTTTAGCTTTATGATACCATGACTTTTGAAAAGATCACGAGAATTTCATGATTAGGTTCCAGTCTGATGAACTTGATGAATTAATTTTTGTCTAGGCTATATATAGCCCAGTTATATTGTTCACAATGTGAAAAGGTGAGTTGTCGACGGTAGATGTGGATTGAAGGAAGCTTGCGATTGCGGTCATATAAAGACGGCCGGAATTCCTGCATTTGAACTACACATATCTGGGACTTCAGCTGGAGGTTACAAATTTGGCCACAAAATTGATATTTTGACTAGAGGATTATTGCCTGCATACTGTGCAGTAACCAAGCGCATCCTCTAGCCACTTAGACTGGAAAAATAATGCAACGTAAAATAAAACAAAAT